AGCAGTTCTGCTTTCTCCCTGCTACTCTTCATCTTCTTGACCTCTTCTCCCCTTAGTGAGAAGATTACTAATCATTTCCTTGTCTTTTTTGTTTTGTTTTTTATATGTTGAAAAAAGCTTTTTAAAATCATTTTTGACATTTGTTACAGTCTTAATTCATTCTGAGCCTTAGCCTTCCTGCTTTCATCTTTGCAGGTTCTGGTTATGACAAATACTTGTCTTAGTTATGTGTCCTGCTTTCCAGTTTTTATACTTTTCTTTTTGTCTTTCAGTTTATTTGAGAGTTCTTTATAGAGCCATGCTAATCTCTTCTGGGAGTTCTTATTTTTCTTTTACAACAAGAAAAAATATCATTGTGCTATAATATCATTTTCAGGGTTCCCCAAGATTCTTGAATTGTCCTTCTCTTTAACATTTCCATCCATGAAACTCTCTAAGTTTGTTGAAATCAGCTGTTTTAAAGTCCAAGACTCTAGTTTGATTTTGTTCTATTGCTTATGCTTGCATTATGTTGAATCCCAATATTGCATGGTCAGTCTCCTCCAGAGTCCCTGTAACTTCAACCCCTTATATTCTTCCATCTCTGTTAGTGACAATTAAATCCAATATGGCTGACCATCTAGTTTCCTTCTCCATCTTTTGGATGAAAAATTTGTCTGTTAGGTTGTCAGGAACCTGGTCTTTCACTGGGTAGTTAAAGTGGCCCATTACTACTGTGGTGTGCTTCCTACACACCTTAGCTAGCTGATTAGTAAAACCTTCATCTACTGTATTTCGTCTGGTTGGGTAGCCTGTAATATATACCTATGGCTATGCCATTCTTATTTGCTTTTATATTAACCCAAATACATTCAGATTAAAATACATACATTTTTATTGTTGTTTTGTTGTATTTCTACACATAGACCGTAACTCCACCTCCTCTTTTATTAGTTCTGTTTGAGAGAGAGAGAGAGAAGGAGGGAGGGAGGGAGAGAGCGAGAGCTCCTGCAGGCCATGTGGGTGGCGCAGCCTTGTGTTCCCGCGCAGCCTGGATTAATTGTTTTGGGGGTACTCTAGGGGTGACATTTCTCTGCAGACCATCAAAATTTTCTCGCGGACCACCAGTGGGCCGCAGCCCACCGGTTGGCAACCATTGCTCTGAAAGACCTAAGAATCTTTATTGTGAGTGGCAGGACCAGTGAATTCAAGGTACAGGGAATTCAGGGTAGCAGGGCCAGCAGGGTGAGTGGAACACAGATCAACAGGTTGGCAGATAAGTAGAGGGCAAGAAGATGGCAACAGCTCAAGCTTTGCGCTATAGTGCTGGGGTGGCTGGCCACAATTTAACTATCAATATTTTGAGTAGTAAATATAAAATTAATGGCAGGCAGCTATTTATATTGGACCATGTCTGTAATATATTGGGATGGTAGTAGATTTATCATTTTGCTAAGATCAAGTGATTTTTTAAAATTACAATTTGGTATAGACTTTATTGGGTTGGGGTTAAGTTTTGAAAATCAGCGAGAATTCTAAATGCACATGGATGTATTGGAATAGGACAGCTAATAACAAGAGGATACAGTTATACTAAAAAGTAATATCTGTAGTGTAACAGACCTGGAAATAAATTCATTTTTTCAACAAAGTAATGAGAAACAGACCCAGTTCTGTCTATATTAAATAGGAGACATATTCTCCTTTCCTAGATTATTGTGAGGATGAAGATTATCAATTGCATTACATACAAAATTCATGTAAAATTCTATAGCAATAGTCCATAATGTTTGTCTTCACTTTGAATGGAACCTGAGGTGAACAAGGAGTAGGACTTAATACATCCTTAGAACTGAAAGTGCTATTTTGATCTTATAATGCTATAAATACATTCACATGGGATTTCAAACATAAAAAGCCCTTTGAGACCTTGACCTCTTAAAAAGCTTTTATCTAATTAAACTCAACAATATTTATTTGTCCCCAGGCAATAGGCAAAAGATAGCTAGTTTTTGCCTTCAACAAATCTCAAATGAAACAAGCAGATGTTCTATTGATTGAGTTGCCAAACCCACTCTTAATTTTCGCTGGGCAGGAAATATTTGCTCATTAACTTATATATTATATTTGGCAAACAATGTCCTTGTAAGTAGGTCATATATAAGCTCAGGATTTAATTTTTTTGCCATATTACAAATAATACTTTAGTGTCTTACTATGGTCTGTTCAAACTACATACGCCACAGAGAACACACAATGGACCTAGAGAACAACACAAGAAGAAAATATTTCTGTTTTAAGTTTTAAGAGAGGCAAATCACTTATTACAGAATGGGGTACAGATCAAGGATTACTTGATTATGGAGGTGAGTAGAATAGCATAAAGAAAACATTAAGAATGAAAGGTTGCTGTTCTGATGTATATTTTAGTATAGAAACATGTGCACTGGCAAACAAATGCAAAATGACCAGTGATAATTCTCTGATGTCATAATCAAATGGTTACGTCTAACATTTTTCCCAAACAAATTTGCTGTGATCAAAATAACACATTTACTCTGAGAATGCAATGTTTGCCTCAAATACATTTGTTTTCTTCAATTTTATATAATAAAATCTATACATATAAAAGTGAAATATCACTCACACATCATCACAAAATCTCCAGAACCGTAAAGCCTATAAACTTGACATTTGGCACCTATGTTCCTCTTGGCTTCTAGGTGCTCAGTAAGAATGGATTTTTCAAAATGACCATCAGAGCATTAGTATTTCGTATATTATTATTAACATGCTCTAATGCTAAGGAGTTTTACTCCCCCTCCCCACCTGAAAAGAAATCTGTTCCAAATGCAAAACATAAGCACACGAGAGGAGCTTCAGTTTCAGAGCAGCAACCAACTTTAGTACAGAACAGTTAAGCTAAGCCATGCCTTGGCTCTTTGCTGTCTCCTTCTTGCTCACACAGCAAATATTGTTTCAGTTTCCAAACAGCCCTCAATTCTCTCACACAGACAGGACCAGGGATGGGATTCAATTTTTAAACAACTGGTTCTGTGGGCATGGCTTAGTTGGTGGGTGTGGCTTGGTCGTGTGACTGGGTGGGTGTAGCCAACTCGGCATTACTCATGTCAAGGGGCACTTTTTCTTACCTGGCCTCTCATGACAGTGGGGATGTTGCAATGGTCATAAGTGTGAAAAATGGTCATAAGTCACTTTTTTCAGTGCCACTGTAACTTTGAATGGTCACTAAATGAACTGTTGTAAGTCAAAGATTACCTGTACAAAAATACAAAAAGCTTCTTTGCTTGCAAAAAGCTGCCCTAAATACCAATCATTAGATTAAAAATACCTGCAAGCTGGAGTTATAAATCAGGCAGGATGCCAGAGCACCTTGAGGAATTAAAATAGTTAAAATGCAGTGATAACTATCAGCAGCCTACTCTTGCTCATAAAATGAAACCCCTTAGCAGAGAGGTCATTTAAGCTCTCCAGAAAGAGCACACCCAGGAGAAGCAATCCTTAAATCCATTTGCACTACTTAAAGATACCAGCTGGTCTCACTCACCTCACAAGATATCCTAAGGAAATCATCCAGATTTAAGGAAAGGTCACATGACCCCCAGAAAGGCAGTAAAAAAAAAATCAGCGCCAAGCTTGCATCCTGCCTCTTGGAAGTACATCCCAAAAGGACAATGCAGATACCACTAAAGCAGTGAAGGAAGACCCCCTCCCCAGATAGAAAAAGAAAACACGAGGCAGGAAAAAATTCAAACACAATACAAATAATTAAATCACAACAGTAGCTGTTGCTTGTTGAAGCTGAATAGGAAAAGTTATCCCATCAATAAACACAGGATTAAACATCACCAAGTACAGAATTAACTTTCACCAAAAACCAGTTTTAGACCAAAACTCAGAAAGGGTATTTAAATTTACGTTGGCTCATCTTTCTAGCTAGCCAAGAAGCCTTGCTGAATGTCACTCATCTTGGTTCCTTGTCATTAAAAGCTTCTTTCTGACAGCTCTGCTGCATTATTCAATTATTTCTTCAAATTGATGATTGTCCAGGGAAGTATTTCCTCCCAACAGCAGTGTAAAAATCTTAAAACAACCCTTCCCTTTTAAAAAAGTCAAGCCCCAGAAGCTCCAGAGACAGGAAGTCTAGGTGTACTGGCAAGAATATAATAAGGGTGGAAAAAAACAAAAGGAGATTGCTTTTAACTACCGGTTCTCCGAACTGCTTAGAAAGTTAACAAGGGGTTCTATAGAACCGGTCAGAAACAGTAGAATCCCACCCCTGGACAGGATGCTAACCAGATGAATACCGATGGATGATGGTAGCCAGAGGCACAATTTTTTCCCCTTGTTTTCCTGCCCAAAGACTACGCCTAATCACATAGTTTTGTAGCAAAGCATGGGTATAGAGCTAGTATATAATATAAGGTATTTTAATATCTTGCATTTAACAATTGAGCATTTATACATATTTTCAAAAACAGAAGACTGAAAAACAAAGCAAAATGTGTATTCCTGAAGCCGGGACTTTCTTTATACAGTATTTCTGATATACACAAACTGTACATCTGCTTACCTAAAGAGGTTGATGTATGAACTGATATATATATATTTTAGAATAAAATAATCCAAGTAAGAGGATAGTAGATCTAAAATATTAAAGGTAAAGTGTGTAAAAACATTTGATGATATCCCTTTGAATATAATGTATAATTGTCAATATAAATGTCAAGATCTAGATTTTTGTTTTCAACATTTAATATAATTTGATATTTTTGTTTTATTTTGCCTTTGAGGACTTCTAAAATGCTGCCATTGTCACTTGTATATCTAAAGGCTGTTTCTGTATGCTTTCCTTTCTCCATAACGATGCAATACTGTTCTTCCAACAAAAAACAATTCCAATTAGCCTATATCCTTATACAAGCATAACATGACAGTGATACAAGAACAAGTATTGATTTAAACAAAAAGCCATTTTTAAAAACAGTGTTCATTCTTACCAACTCCAGTAGTTATTGATTCTGTGTCAATGTTGTTAGCTTTTTTCTTTGCCACTTCAGCTAGTGCCAATTCACCCTTATCTAGTGCAAAGTAATGGATGTCCTTTAGAAATAAAGCAAAATAAAAGATTAATCTAAAATGAATCTTGGGCAGGTAACAAAGAAGAATTTGAAAGGGTCTTTATTCCTTAGATCAGATACAGAGTTGGAAATGATGAGACTATATTTATAATTTTCTTTGTGTTTGGAAATGCAGGTTTATAATCCAACTTGTATTTCTTTACTGGTACTTAGGCAGTAATGAATGAAGCAGTAACCATTAACAGAAAGAATAGAGCCATACAATCCTGTGATACAACTAAACTTCTAACAAACAGTTTAGATTTTCTTATTGTAAAAACCAAAGCTTTGGCAAATATCCCAGTATAAAGGAAACATGAAGGAATATAATGAAAGTATATTTTTCCTAACATTTCCTAATGATTTGAGATATCCTAATCAATATTTATAACTTTTTTTTCCCCTTTTTATTCCTGAATGTCTCCAATCTGGATTTTTTACGTTGTTTATTTCAGTCTGAAAATTAGAGGCATAAGTAGCTTGGAAATTTTCATTTTATATTCTAAATCAGACCAAATCAGCATTTTACACTCCGCAGGCCACATCTCTCTTTTGGGATATCTCTATCAGTCCTCTGTGAGGTCAATAAAGGTACACCCTACATGTAACAAAACTGCACAACCTTATTGATTTGGCGCACCACAACAGTCTCAGTTTCTCATGTGACACCTTGGGAAAATTGCCCATAAAGTATACCAATCAGAAATCCTTTAGTTTTTTTCAGATTGTAATTGTTAATATGTCAAAAAGGAAATAAATGATTGGTTAATAATCCTTTTAACAATATAAAGTTAAATAAACTTTAGTTTCTGTAAATGCAGGTCTGTCCTGTTTGAGTATAAAGAAATAGGAATACAGTTTAATGATTCCACGTAAAGGGAAATTTTCTGAGCCCTCCCAACAAGCTTCACTTCTGCAGTTGTTCTTTTTCAAGATTGGTTTTAATTTAGATGGCCTTCCCCACCACAATGGAATTTGAGAGAAAATATCTAAAAAAAAAGTTTAGTGAGTAGAAATTAGGGGGTATATTATTCACTTTCTTAAGTGCATTCCTTTTTTGCTCTTTTCTGCTGTCTTTTACTATCACATCTAGTTTTGAAATGTAGTCCTTTTGACTACTCTGGTTCCTGTAAAATACTTCAGGTGTATCCGTATTGCTGGACTGTCCTGACATGACTAGGAGCCACCAATTGATTCTGGAGGGTTGGAAAAATATCAAGTACTCGCTGCCAGCGCAGCACAAATATGACCTATACCTTTGCATTGGTATGTGAGAAAGAATGGTCAAATAAGAGCATAGCTCACCACGGCATAATGAGCAGAGAAAAAGGCTAAGAAAAGACCTTCCCAAACTTCTCAGACTGTAAAAGGAAATGGGACATTTTTGGATTTGCTACATTCTATTTATGTAGCCTTACAATAAAATAGAATTAAGTTGTCTGGTCATCTTTCCTGTCTGGTCTACCTGGGAAGGTTGACTTCAATTCTGCAAGCAACAGAAACCAAAAAACCCCTCAGCCTAGTCAGTGACTGCCAGCCTGTAGCATCAGAATTGTTGCTACAACTATTGTTAAGAAGATTCAAGCTCAATAACAAAATGTTTATGAGACTTGCCCAAAATGTAGAATATTAATGACTCAAAACTTGGCAGGAATTTTTTTTAGACTAAGAAACTCTTACTTTTTCCCTTGACCTTTTTTTCCGTTTATACCTTATTTTATCACTTCTCAGTCACTGAAATCCTTCTCTCTCAAGTGACTGAAAAAACAATGAAGGGGTATACCAGTGGCATTTTATATGTCAGATAAATGTTATAACCGTTATGTCACTCAGATTCCTGCTTTTCAATAGTATCTGAAGCAGAGCTTACGGAACCAAACTGGGAATACAGGAGTTTTTGTTTTAAATTGGTTGCTGTACCTGCTAATGTGCGCATTTTGATCCTTTAACTCTATAGAAAAATTGAACTTCATCAGTTGTATATAAAATGTATATATGCATATACAAATATATGCCCATGTATGCATAAATGAAACCGATCAGCAGGACTGAATCTCTTCTAAACCAGTTCCAAAATGTATCAGTCTGGTTGGTTTAGAATTAAGGCAGCATCAGCATAATCCTTATTTGCTTTGCTACTTAAAAAGCCATTTCTTGTTATACCAATCTCATCTTTTCAGTGGATTTATTAATATTTGTTAATCTTGCTTACTAAACAACACTTCCAACTACAGGGTCTTGTCCCACATTTAAATTCCTCCTTGTGGTTATCTATTTCATATTGAGTTTTATATATGCATGTACATATTTAGATGTTCTTGGCAACATTTTTTTAGAAATGGCATGTCACTGGCCTTCTTAAGGTTGAAAGAGAGTAATTGAACCAAATCACTCACCTGGCTTTGTGCTTAAGGCAGGACTAGAACTCACAGGCTCCAGGCAGGTTTGAGCCTTAACCATTACACCAGACTAGATTTATAGTCTGATTTATACCAGACTAAATAAGTATGGAGTGCTTATAACTTTATCCAGATTAATCTTTTATTTATGTTTCCCTACCCCTCCTGAAAGATTATTATTATTATTTGCATTCTGTACAAAATTGAGATTGGTCAAGATCACCAAAATTTTTATTTTCTTCTTCTGAACAGTTCAAAAGTTCATTATTGCTCTTTGTATCAATTCAAACTGACATAATTCTGTTACGTTTTTTTCAGGTGAGAGCCAAAGATACAATAGTTAATGAGTATATTTTTCATAGTGTATAATCTGAAGATAAGTAATATTTCTTCACATAATCAAGTATTCTGCTGAATTGTCCAAAATAATTCAATATTTCTATATGTGGCCTTGGTTTTGCAGAGTCCTGTTATGCAAGTGTCAGTGTCAACCGTTAGCAGTAGCAACTTCATGTCTGATTGCAATAATAGCAAACTTAAACTGAATGAAGTTTGGTTAATTTATTTTCTATTCAATATAAACTCCACAAAATGAAAACCAAAGAATATTATATTTTAACAATACCTTTTCAACACATTCTTACAGTATTTTCCACATAATTTTCTTTATTTGTTCCTCCCAGAAGTTTTTTAATACAGTTTTTTAAAAACATATTTCTTAGGCTATAATCCTGTACACAATTATCTGGAATTAAAAAGGTGGATACCCTTCTACATACCAAGTTCCTTGGGCCGCTTATAAATAATTCGTTAACAAAATAAAGCATTGCATTAATCAGCTGTTTAAATCACAACAGAAAAACAGAAAGGGCAATCAGAAGAATAAAAATGAAAATAAAGATAAATTACCTCTGATTAATAACTCAAAAATAAAAAGGCTTCAGAACCTGGAGAGAACATTTTATAAATGTCACTTCTGCATTTAATGGTGGGGCTATTTGAAGAAAAACCTCTGCTTAAGTTTTTAATGTATAAGGTACCTGTATCAAATAGTTCTTGAAAGTACCTGATCCCAAGTTGTAAATAATTTTGAATGCCAAAATCAGCGCTATGAATTGATATACCGTAGTTAGTATATATAGATGAATATGCATCTTTTAAGTACTGTGACTCATTTTCTCCTCTCTTCTTTTCCAAAACAGAGAACTTCTCTCCAAACCATAAAGAAATCAAGTAGCATTGGGTACAGGAGGGAGGGGAGAGTTGAATGCGCATGTCAAAACAGGAAGATGGCAAGCCTTACTTCATTTGTACATATTGCATGCAATATGCAAGGAGCAGGCCTTGTATAGTACCACTTCTGCCACCACTTTGAACCTCCATCTTTTCTGCAGGGATGTCACTATTCACAAAGTCAATCTGCTGATGGGAAGCAAGTGTTATTTTACTTATTGGCTTGGGCTTGACAGGCCTATCCCAACAATACATTATTTTGAAATTTCATACTTATCTGGCAAGGGAAAACTACAGCAAATAGCATCATTTTTCCTATCACCACACTGTCATCACTTACATATGAGTGTTTCACTATTGACTTATCTATTCCTACAGTACTGTGATTATGTGATTATTACTTATGTGATTATGTGATTATTATGTGATTATGTACTGTGATTATTATATCTGTGATTATGAGAAAATATAATAATAATAATAATAATAATAATAATAATAGATATGACAAAACAAGCTAAGTAGTAGCCATGCAATTGGAACTAAGTACATTACCATATATTTACTGATTGACTTCTTATATTGTAACTATTGTAGACATATCTGCTGTAGACTTATATTTGCATTTATTTTACTGCACACCAGAACAACTAGACACAAGAACAGTTTTTTCCCAAACGCTATTACTCTGCTAAACAAATAATTCCCTCAACACCGTCCAACCATTTACAAATTCTGCACTATTATTACTATTAATCTTCCCATCACTCCTTATCACTCATTCCTCCCACTTGTGATGGAATGACTGTAACTTTGTCACTTGTATCCTTACAATTTATATTGACTGTTTCCTAGTATAATTTGATTGCTTATTGTACCCTATGACTATTATTAAGTGTTGTACTTTATGACTCTTGACGAATGTATCTTTTATGTATACTGAGAACATTTGAACCAAGACAAATTCCTTGTGTATCCAATCACACTTGGCCAATAAAAGAATTCTAATTCTAATAATAAATTTAATAAGCATTTGCACTTAATAATTTAATAAAATAGATCCAACAAATGCTACTTTCTTTAAGTTACCTGAAAGGACCAATACAAACTATTCAAGAATAGTTGTAGATATTGTTGCCTTCTTAGTATCAAAATAACTTTTACAGCAACAAGTGTTACATATCCTTCTTATTCAGGGGCTTCTACTTTACTCACTTGGAACATAAAAAATAGAGGAACCAGTATTACTTTACATTTTGCTGGGCGTGCAAGAAAAATAATACAATGTCAATGCTAAGAGCATGAAATGAAAGCTTATTAAAGTATCTTTTCACGGACATTAATGCAACCA